ACCATAACAGTGCAAAAAAAAACCATTTTGAAGCAGTGGAAAATGATAATTTGTGAAGCACAGAAGATGAGATATCAGATTTTAGTTTTACATCTCTGAAGCATTAACAACTATTTAACATAAACTTCTATTGCTAAAGGTTAGACTTCAAGAATTTGCTTTGAAAAGTATAACATTAGAGCTGAATTACAGTCTGCCTCTAATTGTTTAAAATACGACGTTTTTCATTTTTAACAATTTTGCAGAAAAAAATTCATTTTTTACCACATTTTGTCAGTTCCAAAACTGTCTCCATACTGCTAAAATTTTTTATAACTTAGTCAACCTTTGAAATGATTAATGTGGCAGCCTTCTTGTTATTCCACTCTCAGCCAGACAAACACCTACAGCCTTTGTAGATATACTCAATTCTTCTAGAGATCTTTCTTATCAAACTGTTAGCAAATTTGTTTTTACTGTTCTGCTTGAAAAATCAATTTCGAAACTTTCTTCTTCCTGATCTGAATTTTATGACCTTTGTCACGCAGCCTGAAATTTACATCTAATCTTATTTGTGTTTTGAACTTTCTTATTTCATAGTCTGGCTATGATTCTAAATTATTTTTTCTACCGTGTATGAGAAAAACTTAAATTTATGCAGAAGCTAAAAACTAAATCGATATCGTAAATATGCAAAAACCACTAACAGCAATAATTTTTCAAAATTTTTAATTAAAAAAAGTATGTACATTTTTGAGACTGGAAACATGTGTATTTAAAATGGCGAATAATTGTTGAGAAGTTTTTATAAGCAGCTATTAACCAAAAAATTTAGTTTTTAACTATTTAACAAAGTATAATAAAAATTTTTTCGATACTGAAGCTTAACTGCAAAAAAACAAATGTTTTACAGGTGTGCCATGTATTCACATATTAATATGGTTATTAGCTATCTACTGTCGTAGGGGTAAATTTAAGCAGTGCTTGGGTTCCTACTGGTGGGAACGAGAATTCTGGATTTTGGAAGGACCACGTTTGTTTCAGTTGGTGGTAGGATTTTTGCTAAAAGTTTATTTCTGCAAATTTCTCACTTTTGACAAGCAAATACTAGACAAAATTTCCCTGCATCTTTCATTTTTTTGTTCAGATCAACACACTCTTTATTTTCAATGTGTTACGAGTGCTGTGGTCAAAAGTCAAGAACGAAGCCTGTAAGAATGAATTGGCTCGAATGAAGTTAGTTCGCAACTATTTAGTTCTCATTTTATTTTTTGTTTTCTAAAACATATAACCACTGTTTGATGTTGAAAAAAATTTTGTTACCAAAACTATAAAAAAATAAAAATTTTAGAAAGAGTGCTAAGGCAGCAATGATGTTGATGGCATTACTTGGAGTACCCAACATTATGCAGCTGATACCACTAAATCCAACAAACGATAATAAAGAGGTAAAATAATTGCAAAAAAAAATTATTTTTTTTTCTCCTTATTAAGTAAAGTACGGACATAAAATTAGTAACTAAAAAAATGACGTTTTCAAAGTGCTTTGTTAGAATTGTATTGCAAGTTTTAGTTCTTTGTTGGCTGGACATACTGCGCATCGGCAACACATATGTTTCAAGGATTTGTCATTGCATGCATCTACTGTTTTACAAATCGTGAGGTAAGACAACTGAAACAACAGTGCTGTTCAGTTCAATTTCGTATGGTTTTTTAAATGTTGTTAAAAAATTTTTTTCAGCACACTCAACTATAGGCAAGAAATACAGGGTTTAAAATGTTTTTACTTGAACAATGATCTATCGTTACTGTATAGCAACTGATGAACCTGTGACTACCGAATTTTAGGTAATCAATGCACTAAGGACTTCCTACAGCAGATATAGATTGAAACATGGTACGTCCGCAGAAGTCCGACGTTCTAGTCGTTTACCGTCAACTGTATCACGTAACAAAAAAGTGCCAACGAGCGGCAGCAGCCACACGTTGACTTGCCCCAATAATCGGCCAATCAAAAAAGGCTCTGATGATTCGACGACGGGTCTTCTGGCTGAATCACGGGAGAAGGAACAAACAAAAGATGTAACGGAACAGTATACCGTTCGTAATGGTGACACTGTAAGAATTTTATGAACAATTATTACCTCTACTGACTATTTAAGAGAACGTAAAATTTTTTAAAACTTATCGTTTTTTACTCAATAAGGTATAAAAAAATAGGTGGAGTATAGAAGTATAGAATACGCATTCAAAACTAATAAAGCATTTGAACCAAAATAAATTCCATAGCATTCAGAATGGCTATGTCACGGCAAGTGTTTCAGGTTGCTGCATCAGGTGCACGGGTACGATTCAGTTATTCTTCTGCGGGTACACAAAAAATATGACTGGAATTTTGAATTGAATTAGAAACTTTTTCTATCTTTTGTTAATTTTGCAGAAACTTTAAACTTGAAGCTGATCAATGGTGAACAGGTTAGCTAATACATGAAGTTTTATCTAGTATACACTAGATTTTATCACTTACTGTATAACTTTAGACTTTTTTCGCTGTTATTAAAATGTCTTCGTAACTCCCTAAAACTGTTTATTTCAATAAAAATAAACATTTTTTTCTACTCTTTGACATCAGTTAAATACATTGATATTTATGTTATCAACAATAAAAACGTTTAAAACTATATATCATTTGCTCTTGGGAAGAACTTTCTTATTCCAAAAATTTCTTTTGCCAAGTGGACAGCTTTTCAACAAAATCTTCTGTTGTTAATGTATCTGAAGCTTTCCTCTTCTGCAGAATAGATAATCGTTTCAAAAATACTAATATATGCCCATTCGTTTCTTTTATTTTTCTTCTTTCAGTTGTTATCATGTTGCTCTTAAATTCTCCATTTTATATCCTCTTTGTTAACTTTCTGAATTAAGCTGAACGTTGTTGGTCACCACTGATCTCAATTGTATAAACTGTATGCACTTTTTAGTTTTGATGAGCCAGTACCGAACAACTATTCTGCTGCGTTAATATTTTGAATTACTAAAAATTGAAAAAATTCCTTTCTGATTTTTTACAGCTTTCTCAGCAAATCAACATTTCAAAATACTTTGTAACACTGAAACACTTTTTTTTGAATCCATCAGGATATTTACAACTCTACCAGCAGACTAAGTTGGTGTGACGAAGCTTTAAACAGTTATATTTAGGCTGAGACAATGATAAGGCAATTCCCGCCACTTCTGCGCATTTTAATGTCGAACTGTAAAATAGACTGTACGATTAGGCGTTAAATTATATAAAAAAGTATACCCATGTATTTTGATAGTGTCTGTTCCATAAATGTACAAGATTTTAAGGTGATGTTTTGTCAATATATAATGCAACTGAATACAACTGTTTTCAACATGCTTATCACAGTCATTATTTGCTAAGATAAGTTTTCTTAATTTCAAAAAACGAATTGCGAAGCCAAGGAAGACAGCAGACCCACTTTAAGCTTTAAAAAATAAGTTTCAAAAAATTAAAGTACCAGTAAAAAAACGTACATTATGACGACAGAAATCTTGACTGAAGGTTCATTTAGAAATTACTGGGGGTAAGTTCAGTATTGAAATACGCCTGAAATATTTTTGAATCTACTTGTTCAACAAACGTTCTGAAATAAGAGTACTTCTACTGCCTAAATTATATTGTTTTAAGGTTTCCGGACTTTCCTAGCTTTAAAATTTGTCCTAAAAAGTTTGTTGCCATATTTTTGTCAAATCCCATTTTCTCACAGACAAAGATTCTAAATCAAATTAAGCAAATAATTACTTGTTTTAAACTGGTATTAATAAATTAAATCAGTACAAACGATTAGAAACACATTATAATGGCAAATTAAATCGCTCATTTTTCAGATTGTAGTTTTTAGTAAGTATTAGTGCGTTGTTAGTAACTAACCTGCGCCGTACGATGACATTTTAGTTTTTCCTGTTACTTTTGTGATAATGAAGTGCAATTACTATAGAGCGCAGTTTGTTTTTCACCTCCAACTACGACTGAGCCTCTGTTCCGAATAAATATTCGATTAACATTTTGACCACAGTATGACTGTGTACTGACGCACAAAACAATAATTTAAATTGTAACATTAAAATTAGCGAGCAATAAAAGAAGATAAAACGTCAGCAACAGGCTAATAATTAAAGACAGTTCTCTTAGGAGCTCATATTTCTTTTAAAAGTTCTTCATACTTATCACATAGATTTTGTCTCATTTGCTCCTAATCAATTACATTTGATGGGTTAAGCGACCAGAACTGAGCGGACAGGATTTTAGACTCTACAGAAACTCTTCGTGATGCCCTAAGCACCGCGTTATTTAATAATGCACGTTAACGCTTTGTTTCATTACACAAACCAGTACCTCAGAATTTGGCAACTCAGAACGAACTTTCCCCAGACTTCAAAACGCTGAAGACCCGGCACACTCCAATTTGCTTTTAAACAATTTCTTCCGGTACTCCAAAACATCTAAAAAATTTTTCTCAGAATGCGTCTCAAGCTAAGAAGGATAACACTAACGACACTAATGGCCTTAATCTGGTACTGGTACTATTAACTTCAGTTTACGATCTGAGTGCAAGATTAATTAGTACAGGATGTGAAAAATGAAGTAGGGCAAAAAAAAAAAAAAAAAAAA